ACAATAAAGCAAGCTAAATATGATAACTGCAGGAGCCGTTAAACTATTAAGAGTCCATTAAAACTTATCTTCAGAGTTCTTCAGGATTTCATAGTCAGAACTTCACTTGTCTTGTTCTTCCTTCTGCCTGTCTGTTCTTCCTGGGAGCCTGGAACAAAGCTGGAGCTGGAGCATGCTGGAAATGACTTAGGTGAACATGCGAGATCAGACCTTCAAGCTTTGCACTGCTGTGAGCTACTAATAACACTTGGTATGGACCTTTCCACCTTGGGGAGAGAATTCTTCTGATGCACTTTTCAATACACCCAATCCCCTGCTTGCAATTGGTCAAATCATTGAGTTTCTGGTAGCCTGTTCTGATCACAATGTAGTCTGGCTTGTTCTTGGATCTGGCACTGCTCCTGTTGAAAAGATTGTATAGCACATGAACACCTTCTGGGATGGTGGTCATTGCAAGGCCTAAAGGCATTGGTCATCCATAAACATTTCATAGGGACACACCTTTAGTCCCTTTAAAGGTGCCATGGGAAGTAAACCAATTAATTCTAGTTTGGCCAAGTGATTTTTTTCAATGTACCCACCATCTGAAAGAAGCCTCTCATAAGCAATAGGAGAGGGAATTTGAAACACATGTGCAAAGACTGAAAGACACGAGGTTGTTGAGCAGCCTATTTAGCAGCCTGATTAGCAAAGTCATTGTCTTTAGTGATAAAAGCAAAAGTGTAGAGTCAGTGAAGATATTAACAGTTTTGTCTTGGCAATATGACAAACTTGAGTTAAGACAATAATTTAGTGGCTTGGGCTCCCAAGGAAAAGAAAAATTAAATTAAAAATTAAAAATGCAGCCCCTGTTAAATGGACTCCGTCAATCGCAAAGGAAGACTCATCTGAAAAGAGTTCAAAGTCAGGATTTTGTAGGGGCACATCAGTAAGATCTGAGCAAGCTTCTCTACCAGGTGTATGGTCTGCAAACAGTTACCTTGGTAACCTCCTTCATCTGTAATCTCAGGAAGCAGAGTTGCAGGATTCAAAGTACACCACTTCAAAGTCATGTTCGATGCCTTCAAATGGACACCCACTTCCTCTCTTAACTACTTTAGGAAATTACTTATTATCAACCTTTTAGATGTTAAGAACTTTCTGAAGGGCAAGTTTCATTACACCAGGACAGCTTCCTTCTATCCTGGATGAAAGTTTTATGTAAGTTTAAAGATTAAATAGAAAAATTTTAATTTGGGGAAAACAGCAAAAGGGTGTCTAAATGTTGATG